AAATATTTTAAAAAAAAAAAGACAGTCATCCCAAAATCTGACATAGAACACAAAACTGTTCCAAGTTTACAACTTTGCAATAAGAGGTGAGCATCTCTGGCCCTTCCTTTCCTGACAAGTACACAGAGAATACAGCCAGAGACCCAGACAGGAAGGCCTCCCAGGCACTTAGCAACTTCGCCCTGTGAAAATGAACAAGCTGGTTCTGCAGGGATCTATCTGTGAGGACTAAATGGCGCAGACCGAGCTGGGAAGCTGGCCCGCCCAACACAGCAGTTCAGGACCCCACACCCAGCTGGGGGCTGTCCCTTCAGAGACCACTGCGGGGGCAAGCCTTACCTGATTCCGAGGCAGGGCTGGAGCGGGAGTCCCCTGCTCGAGCAGGACGAGGGCTCCAGTTGCCTGGAGGGCCTATCTCCCAGCTACCACACCAACCGTGGCCATGCTTCAGCTTCCGGAACAGGCGGCTGAAAGGCAAGCCCTGAGGAGGAGGCAGAGGGGCAGGGCAGTGAGGATCAAGTCCCAGGCTGCCACCACCTGTACAGGCCCGAGCCACAGCACGCCGGTCCCTACCTCAGCACAGTGGCCCAGAGGACTGGCAAACACGATCTTGCTGTGCTCGCTGTGAATGCCTTTCCCCTCACACACAGAGCAGAGGTCGTAGTTTGGGCACACGCTGCACTTGTAGCGGGTTCCCACCACAGGCCCATCACAGCCATCGCAGATCACATTGGGGTGTAACATGGGGCGCAGCACTCCCTGGGCACAGTGGGGGCGGTGCTCCCTCCGGTACTCCTTCTTCTCTGCAAAGACAGACAGTCACTAGGGTGGGGCCCAAGTCGTCCCCTGCAGCTGTCACTACAGGGCTGGCAGTCCACTCCAAACTCAAGGCTCAGGTGACAGCAGCAGAACATACAGAACTCCTGGCAGCCAACCCCTCCCCTGTGCAGTTCAGCGGAGCCAAGGGGCTTGGGCAGCAGGGAGAGGTGCTGTCTGTGCCCTACTGCTTTGGTCACCCCGAAACCAAGGCTTCCCTCTTCCTGCACCGGACTCTGCTCCCTAGCAGGCAAACAGACTTCTTTCTCAGGCTGCACACAGCACTTTTAAGATGGCCTGTGCCCTGTTTTCACTGAAGGGTGCCAGGCAGCAACGCCTTCCTTACCTTTAATGTAGATGCGGAAGATGTCATCCTTCACATAGGACAAGGCCATGGTCAGCTCCTCGTCACTGGAAAAGGCAACCAAGTCCCCATCCTCATCTAGATGGTTTAAAAGACAACAGACACTTCAGAGCTAGATTGGCACCGGGGCAGAACACCTGCTTAGCACGCTGAGAGCCTGGATTCACTCCTCAGTCCTCCATACCCAGCCCAGGACAGCAAGACGGCCTATGAGCACCCGGTCCTGCAGCTGCTGAAATGTGCTGCGGCCAGGCAGACACGTGGTGCAGGGCTCAACTCGGAGGCAGGGAGGCCGGGCACGCTGCCTGTCCAGTGGCAGCGAGTGGCTGACACCTCTGCGTAGTTAAGAGCCCATCAGAACAGAAGGAAAGATCTCGCTTCATTCCAGCAGCCCGTAACTGCAGTGCAGTCATGCCTACAGTCCTAGTCCAGAGGTTGAAGCAGGAGTACCCTCAAGCCAGGCCAGAATGTAGCAGGAGGGCTGGGAGCTGGCTCAGTGGAAGGGCCTGAGTTCAATCCATGGTTCCACTAAAAAATTTTTTTAAAAAAGACTGGATTTCTACCTGCAGGCTGAGCCACCACGTAAGCACAATTTACAAGAACTGGGGACACCCTCAAAGACAGAAATAACCCCTGCAAAGAAATTGAAGTTATGCACATTATCAAACCACAGTACAATGAAAATGAAATCAGCAAAAGAAATCACAAGAACTTCATAAATACAGGGAAATAAAATAACACCCTCCTGATCAATAAATCACAGATGAAATAAAAGAAATTAAGAGGCAAGTGGAGTGGTGCACCCTATCATCCCAGCAACTCAGGAGGCTGAGGCAGGAGAATCATTGTGAGTTCAAGGCCACCTGGACTACAAAGTGAACTGAAGGCAGCCAACCTCAGCTACATAGTGAGACCTGTCAGGGGAAAAAAGAGGGGGACTGTGCTGGATGTACAGCTCAGTGGCATATGCTCCTACCTGGCAAACACAAGGTCCCTCCCATAACACGAAAGAAAAAAGGCCAGTTTATTCTTAAGATAATACAACATACCAGAACTCATGGGGCCCAATGTCAGCAGTCCTACAGGGGAAGCTTATACAGCAGAGAATACCCATACTAGGAAAACAGAGCAAGCTCAAATACATTTGATCTTGAACCTCAAACTTATAGAAAAAGAGCAGACCAAGGCCAAAGCTCCTTCGAAGGACATTATGAGAGCCGAAATTAATTAAATGGAGACTAATAATGTAGACAAATTAGAAAGTTAGTTCTTTGAAAGATTAAAAACTGACAAATGCTTAGTGAACTCATCAAAAAAAAGGGAAAGATTCAAATCCATGCAATTAGGGGTCCAGGGAGACGGCTCAGTAGATAGAATAAGCGCTTCCCTGGAAAGCACAAGGGTCTGAGTTCAAACCCCAGTTCCACAAAAAAAAAAAAAAGGCTCAAATCCACGCAATTCAGAATGTATACAGGGTAAAATCACAACATACCCTACAGACACCCAGATCTAATTGAGAACTTGTACTCTAGTAAAGTGGAAAATGGAGAAATGGATATTCATACATACATAACCAAAGCTAAACCAAGAAAGCATAAAAATCTTAAATTGGTCAATCAATGAAGTTGAACATGGAATAAAAAAACCTACCAACAAAAGCCCAAATCCTGACAGATTCACTGTTGAATTCCAGAAGGAATTTAGAGAAGACCCAGAGCTAGAGAAACAGCCCAGAGGCATAACCACCTACCTGGGAAGCACAAGGTGCCCACAGTTCCCAGACTGCATGCCAGCACATATAATCCCTCCACTTAAGGTTAAAACAGAAAGAGGAACACTACAAGATCAGCCTAGGGGCTACAAAAAGTGACCACAAGGTCAGCTGACTGCAAAACAATGCTGTCTCCAAAGAAGACCTAATGCCACTGATTCTCAGAGAAGCAGTACTCTCAAACTCATTCTTGAAGCAGGCATTACCCTGATACCAAAATCAGAAGGACCCGGTTTAAGAAAGAGGATGAGGCCCGGGAGATAGCTCAGTGGTTTAAGCACCTGCCTGGTAAGCGCAAGGTCCTGAGTTTAATCCCTGGTACCAAAAACAAAAACAAAAAAGAGGACTAGACAAATCTCCCTAATGAACCTGGATGAAAAAATCCTCAAAAAGACACCAGCAAACAGAATGGAGAAAATCATCAAGATTATACACCATGACCCATTGGATTCAACCTAAGAATACAGGTATGGCTTAACATAAATGAATGTAATACACCATATTAACAGTCAAGGAAGGGCCAGGAAGATGGCTCAGTGGAATAAGCGCTTCCCTGGCAAGTGCAAGGGCCTGAGTTCAATCCCCGGTTCTGCGAAAAAAAAAAACTATATATTCTCATTCAATACAAAAACTATATTCTCATTCAATAGATACAGAAGCAGCTATGAAAGGGCAGCCAAACAGCTCAGTGGATGGGGCAAGGGGTTTGATCCCGGGCCGCCATGCTGGCCCCACCCATGCTGAGCAGCAATTGAGACTGGGCGTGTGGCATGCCTCTGTAAAACCAGCTGGTGGAAGGCTGTAAACAGGTGGATCACTAGAGTCCAATATAGTAGTGAGACCCTGAACACCCTGTAGACCCCTCCCTAAAATACAAAAACAGCTGTGGATGAAATCCAGCACCTGGGGCTGGTGAGATGGCTCGGTGGTCTGGAGCACCTACTTAGAACAGGCTAGGCTAGGCAAAGCACGGGACCGCAGTTCAATCCCCCAGCACCGCATGCCAGCCAGCCCCGCCCCCTGGTGGGCTGAGCTGGCCACACACACACACAGAATACATAAATAAACAAATAAATAAAAAAAATTAAAAAAAAAAGAAATCCAGCACCTACTCATGATTGAAATAGATAGTCTTTATCTCAATCTGGTAAAAGCCATCTGAGACAAACCAGCAGCCAATAACATGCTAAGTGAACAATGAAAGCTTTCACTTTAAAATCAGGTACTGGAGACCAGGTGTTGTAGCACCCCTGTAATCCCAGCTCTTGGGAGGCTATAAACAGGTGGGTCACTATGAGTCCAATCTAGTAGACCCTTCCCTAAAATACAAAAGAAAAAATCAGGTACTAGGCCAGCTAGGCTTCGGCAAGGGGGTACCAGGGACGCCTCACGAGCCCATGCAGGGCCACCTAAACTGGGTGTGTTAGGGCACACCTAGAATTCCAACACTGGGAAGACAGGAGGGTCACTATGAGCCTGAACTGCATAGTGAGACCCTGAAAATATCTTTCACAACAGCATCCAAAGAAAAACTCAGTAATCAATCCAACGAAGACCTCTCTACTGAAAACTACAGTACTCTGAAAAAGGAGGTTTAAGAGGATTATCAGAAAATGGAAGAATGAAAAAAAAATAAAATAAAAATTTTTTTAAAAGGGGGAGAACAAAAAAAAAAAGAAAAAAAGAAAAAATGGAAGAATGGCGAGATAGCTCAGCAGACTAAGCACCTGCTTTGACAAGCACACAGGGAACACGGTTCAATCCCTGGTACCACATGCTGTACCCACTGACCCATGGCGCAGCTGACCTGGCAACAGAGTCCTAGCATGGTAGAAAACACATAATCCCAGCGCTGAGATGGCTGAAAACAGGAGGAGCACTACAAGTTTGAGCTGCACAGTGAAACTGTACCACATACATAAAACGGAGGAAAAATGGTAAAATTTCTCTTCTACAGTGAAAATGGCTATACTCAAAACTGTTAGATTTAATGCAATGCCAATGAAAATTGAATTAGAGAAAACCTAAAATTCATTTGGAACCAAAAGAAACCTAGAATAGCAAAAGCAATTCTGAGAAACAAAGACAAGGAAGGGTACATCACAACTCCTGACTTGAGATTATACTACAAAGCAGACTCAAGATCAATGGAACAGGCGGAGGCAGCTCGTGCGTCTGAGACGCCCCAAAGTTAGGACCTTTCTTTGCACTCTTGAGGGCGCCGGCGGTGGCTCTGCAGCTATCATCATGCCACAGAATGAATATATTGAATTACATCGTAAACGCTATGGGTACCGCTTGGATTACCATGAGAAAAAAGAGAAAAAAGGAAAGTCGAGAGGCTCATGAACGTTCAAAGAAGGCAAAAAAAATGATTGGCCTGAAGGCTAAGCTCTACCACAAACAGCATCATGCAGAGAAAATACAAATGAAGACTATCAAAATGCATGAAAAGAGAAACACCAAGCAAAAGAATGATGAAAAGACTCCCCAAGGAGCAGTACCTGCCTATCTGCTGGACAGA